AGACGGGGTGCGGGGCTGTCAGCGGGGAGTCCGATTTTCCGCCAGGTCTAAGGGCCTTGCTAAACGGTCTTCAGCAGACAGCGTCAGTTTCTACCAGACTAACTAGGCGAATATTTGGCAGGGGAGTTTGGCTGCCTTTGGGTTTGCCTGGCCGATACGGAGGGGAAAGAAACAACCTTCCGCGGACTGACTCCCCGTAACCAATTGTACTCTCCTATTCGCCGAATTCTACGATCCGTATTCCCGTAGAAAGGCCTGGAGGAGGCTGACAGTGCAGATTGCAGTAATAACAGCCACTGCGTGAAATCCAATATTTTATCATTAGTAAAGACTCCGTTTTTTTTTTCTGTCCGCCCTGTCTTAGCGCCAACTCACGGTTTTTAGCAGACAGCGGTTGTACTGTGTGTAATCCAATATTTAAGCATGCCTTTCAGTGTACGTAAAGACCATGTTCCGGTAAGTTTGTCCAGTATGCAAAAAGATTCGTTTTTGCGGCTAAAAAAGAACGGAAAATAATCGGATTTTATGCAGTGCAATTGAAAAAGTCAGCGATCTAAAGAACTAAAGCATTGCACCACATGCAATGAAAATATTGAAGATGATGTCTTTTTCTAATGGCTTGTACATGTCCCATTCATAGTAAAGAGAGACATAGATACACTGTTACAGACTATATTACTACTATACTCATATACTCATATACTCATATACTATTATAGATAATAGATTTTACAGATACTGTTTATAATAATCTAAAATATATTAACCTTGTAATGTTGGTAATTTACTCATTTTACCATGTAAGATTGTCGAGCAAATAAAGTTCATTCATTCATTAAGATCGGATGATAGTCTTATTTACAAAAAGTCCACAAAAAATTGAATTCCCAAAGTGGCAATCTTTTTGCAAACCCACTTCACAATGATAGTAATTTGTAAGGTGGGGGTATATAATAAGTGGGAACCCTCTAATTCATTCTCAAAGATACTTTTAAAACGGAAATTAATTTCACCGGAATTTTCGGCGTCTCTGTAATACAGCGAATCGAATAATAGCAGCAACGAATTTAACCCGTTATTTCTTTTTCTCAATGAATAGCCTCAGAAGCGTTTACAAATGGGTAGGTTTTTGTCAGAGACCAGTAACCTACTAAATCTTTTCTTCCAGCATCTTTACAGAAAGAGTGGAGGTGTAATAGGAGTAAGTAGAAGTAATAAGAGGGGTACAAAAGCGCCGCTGGTTGCTCACTTACGTCTAATCTAACATTAAATATGATTAAAACAGCGGGGTTTGGGAGGTCATGGCCCGGCTTGGTTAGGGGTCAGTAAGCGCTCATGGCGAATTTTAACCAAGTACAAATTGAATACGCTCCATGCTTGACCGCGCGGCGCATCACCCGTACCGCTATTCACACATAACGTACCGGGGACAGGTGGACATTAAGTCGCTAAATTGCCGCTCTTGTGGCTGGCTGGGGGTCCGCTTTTATTCAATGAAAGGCCTCAATTTCCTGGCGTACCGTCGGAAACTGTGGAGAGAACCATCGGGAGTCGGTCTGGAGATGGAACAACACGTTTTGTTCTCGCCCCACCTCGAGCTGCGCGCCGGAAAATCGGGATTCTTTCCTCCCGATAGCAGAAGAATGGAGTGAATGATGTGAGGTCTGGCACAGGTCCGCAATTACGGTAAAACAGACGCGGGAAATGATAGGAAAGACCGAAATCCGCCGCACAAAAATGTGCCAGTTTCTCACGATCTCAAGAACCACTTTGACGGATGTGTTGCGGAAAGCAAGCTGGCTTCAAGACATACTTGCTAGGATCTTGAAATGAATAAATAAAGTTGTAGTTAAGGATTTCATGATCTTTCAGAAGAACACAGACACTGAAATCATATCAAACCTTCTGTTTTAAAACATATCTGTTCTTACCTTTTTGCCATCACTAAGAAACGAGAAAAAACGAATTTACTTGATTGTACCTACTTGACGATGTATATATGTACGTTATCTGTATTCCATCGTTTTTGTGACGTGTACTTAACCCAGTGGGCATGTGTGTACAATAAAGGTCTTCATTCATTCATTGAAATACAGAAAGTGCATGAAGTGATTTGTAAAAAAAATGTGTTGTGCCAAAGGTGCGATTTTGCCACTAAGAATTATAGGAATTCATCATATTATTTATACAAGTGTGTTTTTCATAATAGTGGCAGGTAGACGTAATTATCGACATACGCAATTTTTGGCAGGATTTGATGAAATTGTTTTAGTAATAAACTATTGTGTAGGAGACAGACAACGAGGCCAAAATAATTGTTCTAAACCAATGAACACTTCTAGATAGCAGGCTGTATTTCTAAATAGATGTGAACGATTAAAGTGTACATGAAATGAAAATGCATTCATGTAAAAATTTGGTCTTTTTTGGAAACAATTATGCAATTTTTAAATCGATTTTCTTAGAAAAAACTGGCTAAAACAGCGACATAAAAATGTCTATTTGACTGAGTTCTTTGGTGGAAGTAACTAGCAACGTTAAAAATCTTACAAAAACAAATCTTCAATGTCATTTTATACCAGCTATAAGGATAGCATTTGAACCCGCACCGATATTCAAAATAGCAAAGCCGTTAGAACACTAATTTAAAACGAAACTAGAGGTCGGAGATCTCATGTCTTCGTCAGAGGTACATCGTTCTAGAGCATGCGTATTCTTCACTCTTTTTAATAATCAATTTGGTCTAAAGAACAAAAGAATCTCTGTACTATTTTTATGGTACAGAACACCCTTAAACGGTTTGCCGCAGATTATACAGATGCGTCGTCACCCGTGTTAGCCCCCCCCCCTACGTTATTTGAGTTTGGACTGTTACTGGAAAAAAAACGTTCAAGAAATTCTTACTGTGTTGAAAGTGTCACGACAGCGCCGCAAAATATAATAAGAGAAGATGTTATAAAGGAAAGAATCAGAACAGGGTGACTACTGGCTGCTGTTTTGTTAATTTGTCTTTATGACAAATAGAAGACTTGAGTTCTTTGTGTCCTAACATTTGTACTTCTACAGTTAGTATATTCCAAATCTAGGCATCTCATTTTTCGGCCCTTCGTGTTTTTACTGCGCGCTTGCCTTAAATTTAAGGTAATTAGATTTAAGGTCTCCAGTGGACGTCATCCATAGCAATTACTTGGTGTGGCCGTAGAAAATAACCTGACATATGTCCAACCTATCCTCCCCCTGCTGAAGTTATAGTACAATCCCTCAATGTAACGTCATTTGATCCCATCCTATTATGGGGTTCCCCCCGGCTATATCCAGCTGTCGGCTGTCTCCAAGCAGATGTAGGTGGGGGATTTCTAAACACAAAAGGTCCTATTACGGGGACATAACGACCTCCACGACTCTCATCTTTTAACTCAATCTTGGAGACCACCACAGTAACATGCCTATCAAATTTCATTAACTTCCATCTACACATACAAAAGTTATCCTGCTCACAAGAAAAATTAACAAAATGCCCCCTGTAGTCACAACGAAACCCCCACGAAGCTCAGTAACGAACTTAACCTTGGTCCTGACAATAGTAAGCACCACACCAAGAATTATAATCAACATTTTACAAATACTTGAGTTATCTTGCTAACAAGCCACAAACACAAAAGGTGCACTAACGTGACGCACGGACCCCCCAGAAGCCGAAACTTGTAATTGACTTCGGCCTCAACAGCGGTAATCTGCCTGCCAAAAATCATGGACGTCGAATCATGCCTTCCAGAGTTATAACGCAAAATCCGCAGTTCCCCACACTCCGGCGAGACAATTTCATAGTCCTTCTGACGAAGACAATGACGCCTCCTTATTGGATCATTCTCAACGGCCTACTTCCAAGCAACCGCCGAATCTCTACTCTACAAGCAGAGGTTTGGGTTTCGGCTTACTTTTGACGTATTTTATACGTTTTTGTAGGCCTTTCCTTTACATTGGTATCTATTTTAGCCAGCAAAACGGCTAACAAATAGATACTACCTTGTCAATTTGTCAATAGTGTCTTGCAGTCACTAAAATATCTGCTTAGAGATGACATTTTTGCATCCCATACTAGACGATGCTAACACGTTACAACGGAATTTCATAACAATATTACAGTATATGATAATCATAATTCATTCATTCAAATGTCATACGAAAAGGTCCCTGAGAACCACAGCATCCAATAGCATTGCGATCTTGTACTTGAAGAAAATAACGTGAATATTTTTCGATGAATGTATGGATGAATGAATTAGATACGACATGATTAAATGATGGTATGAAATATTAAAATCAATTTAACCTCAAATTGATGATTGTGAAATCAACGTTGTCTCCGGTGTATTTTTGGTTTGAAGTTTTATACACTTTTTCCCTTGAGCTCAACCCTAGTGAATCGGATCCTAGGCCTTAGAAAACGAGCTATGCTATTATTTGTTTCCAAGCAGATGTTGGGAAGGAAGATCGTATATTTCTGAGATTATGCTTCTTTATCGGAAGGAATGAATAAATGAATGAATGAATGAACTGCATTATTTTGAAGGACGATCGTATATTTCTCCGGCTCTGCCTCTTTTTATAAATGAATGAATGGATGAATGAATGAATGAATGAACGAATGAATGAATGAATGAATGAAATGGTAAAAAAAACAGACATGGCAAAAACGTAGTAAAATGTAACGATATTCCCCGCCAATAGCTGACTGAATGACTGAATGACTAAATGAATGAATGAATGAATGAACAAAAAGATACCTGTATAAAAAGAAAAGAAAGCCCGATAAAAAAAGCCTAAAAACTCGTCAAAAATAAGCCAAAGCCCAAACCTCTGCTTGGAGATAGAGTATAACAGTGACATAAAAGTCTGCAGATGAGGCTGAAGGGAGGTGAGTGTTGTGTGTTGAGCAGCTGGGTTAATTGACAGTTGAGTGTACGGACCGTTAGCGCCGACACAGACCGGAGAGACACGCGGGTGTGAGTGTCACAGATGGCGGGCTAGCTTCACGCTCCTGACCCGACATCCCCCGGTCAACACTTCACACAGGACCCCGCGATCTGGTCACTTGTCAGGGGACAAGGTCGGCTATTTTTATCGCATCTATTTAGGGCAGCATACGACACAAGAAAAAAAAACAAGTGTGTTTACGTTAAGGGTGCCCATTGCAGTTTTCAGGGCCTAAAAAACAGATTTGTCAAAGTCAATATTCTAGTCATTTAATCTCCAATCATATCTGTTGGTGGCTTCAAAGACAGAATAAAATTGGCCAGGCTATTTCCAGACCGGCCAGAGCCGCCAGACAGTTACCATTTCGCCGCCAAAGTTAAAACAACACTATCCCGATCTATATCGACATTCCTAGAGCAAAAATGCCAAAAATTGCGACGGAAAACGGTTACAGGTAGGATCCTGGTTTTATTTTTGGGACACCACTCAGAAAATTAAAAGACTCATATCTTGGGGCTTGTTATTGCGCTCTTTTAAACACCCGTAGAACGAGGTACAATGCATAAGTTGTACTGAACATTGGAGTGAGAGCCAAAATGATATAAAGGAATTATCTACTTGATTTAACGGCAGAGAAGTGGGTAACGCAACTCAAAATTAGAGTGGAAGAGGTAATAGCCTCTTTTGCAGGCGTTCCGGGAGCGGTTGGCGTTTTTTTTTACGGGGGTGGGGGTCTCTTATCGAACGTAGAACGCACACGCTCAGAACTCTGGCCACCATTCCTAGTATGCCTTCCCTGTAGAAAGCGGTCAGAGTTCTGAGCGTGTGCGATCTACGTTTGAT